AATGATGTAAAGAAAATGTCATCAACTTTGATATTCTTCATTTTTTTTTATTTAAAACATTAAAAATAAATATAAAAACAGGATTGGAAATTTTATTTTAAAGATTTTTTTTTTGTAATTTTGTTTGATGCGTATGTAACAAAAATTACAACAAAAATGAATATTCTTAATTTTTTTATAATTTTTATTGAATTTTTATCAATAATAATTGATGATTGTCAAGGACAATATTATCCAAATATTATTAAACATAATCCATTGACAAATTATTTTTTTTATAAAAATATTAAAAAATGTACAGGTCCATTTTGTCCAACACAAATGATGAATATACCAACAAGAATCTATTTTGTAACACAGATTCCATATTGGCAACCAACATTTCAGCCATTTACATTTATGCCGATCCAATATGTAACAACAGCAAAACCAACAACACCAACAACAACAACGATAACAACAACAACAGAAAAACCAACAACAACAACACCAACAACAACGACAACAACAGCAAACCCAACAACAACGACAACAACAACAACAGCAAAACCAACAACAACAACAACAATGAAGACAACAACAACAACAGCAAAATCAACAATAACAACAACAGCAAAACCAACAACAACAACAACAACAGCAAAATCAACAACAATGGCAGGATTAAAAACTGAACAACAAAAACCAATTATAATCAATATTTATAATATTATTAAATATGATGATTATTTAAAAACATTAAATGATAAAAATGTATCACATAAACCAAATAATAATAATAATGATAATAATCATAATTGGGTTGGTAATCATAATTCAAAAATATTTGATTGTATAGAAAAACAAAAATTTATGGTAAACAATATGACCGAACAACATTTAAATAATGAAAATATGCAGTACTTTGAATCAAGAACATTCCAAATTTGAATAAAATTAAATCATTTTTTTCTCGTTTTGTTTTAAAAATCTTTGTCAAAAGCCAGTAGCCATTTGAAAATGGGAGAAAAGAAAATCAAATCTTTCTTTTCCAATGAAAATCTCACCTTTTATCTTCATTAAAAAGTCATTAATCTTTTTTTTTCGAATGAATGGATAATAAATTTCATATTTTGCATCCGAATAGGAAAAAAAAAAAATAACACGCGCGAATCCAAAGCAGAAAAAAAAACAGATTCAACGATCGATAAATGTCGAACGAAAAAGAGATAAGATTTTTTATATATAATTAATTGAAATTTCATCACTTGCTTGCATCAACTCTGCAGTGGTGAACATTCTTATCATCCACATCATATGAAATTTTAAGAAAAATTAATAAAACATCCCCATTAAATGGATAGAGAGAAAAACATGAATATTCATCATGTCTTGTGGCCCGAAGAAAATGAAAAAAGCAATTCAAAAAACAGGTGTAAAATGGCAAACTATTGATGATAAATAAATTTGAATAAACATAAATCAAGAGAGAGAAATGAAATGAAATTTTCAAACAAATTTTCGTTCATCATCTGCAGATATCAACCTGTGATTTATTTTTTTGGCCAATGTCAACTCAATTAATTAATTGATTTTATGAAAAGAAATTTCTGACTATTTTAACCTAACTGATTAGATAACATCATTTTTAGCTTTTTTTTTCTCTTAGATATGGTGGTAATAAATTAAGGATTTTTTCATTTTTTTCGGAAAATGTCATCCATGAATGATGTATGAAGGAATATTCCTGACCACCAAAGTAAGAGAGAAACAAGAAAATCCTGTTGTTTGTCATCATCATTCTATTTTTCAACTCAACTTGTAACTTAATCCTTGATGATTTTGATCAGGAAAAAAAATGAAACAACGGTAAATTAATCATTTTTTGGCTTAAAACAAAACAACAGCAACAAATGATCTTCAGGGTTAACCGTTTCACATGGTCATTTCTTTTTTTCGAGGGAAAATGTCAACAACTTTTGTTTGTGAGATTCAAAAATCATCTTTGAAAGGCGATTTTTTTTACCATTCTTCCTTTACTCACACACCATACACACGTATTATCAATTTGCCACCGGATTTTCCATTCATAATCATAGACCTGATGTAAACAACAACAACAAAATTCAATTTGAATAATGATTCTGGCAGAACTTTTTTTCTTCCCTGTCATGTCCAAAAAGTTAAATACAGTCACTGATGATGATAATGATGATTGAGAGTAGCCCATAGAACGACAAGACAAGAAGCCACTTGTTGTTTGTATGTGTGTTTAAACACAGATGGGTGATACACGTAAACAAAAAAAAATGTCTTTGTGTTCAAAAACGACAACGAAAATTGAAAAAAAAATTTTGTTACATCCTTATCATCAATGAAATGAACGAAAATAACATTATCCACAATATGGATTTTGATGGAAAGGTTGTTGAAGATCGTGACTAGATCGTTCTTCTATTGTGTTTCTCTCTCAATCATCATCAGCTACATTTGCATCAAGGCTGTGGTTTACGATCATAGACCAAAGATGATGATGATGGGTTTGACTTACTGACTGAATGGCAATATCCATAATAATAATAATAATAATAATCATCGACCTCTAACCTTTAATCATTGAAACCTGTCTGGTTGTTGTTGGTGAAAACAAAAAAATAGCTCGTGTACAATTATCATTATGATTATCATTATGCGAAAAGTAAAAAAGTAAAAATAAATAAATATGGGTAGCACAAACACAATAATAATAATATTGTGTTTTTGTTGTTGCTGTTGTTGTTGATTTGTGTGAGAATTTTTCCAAATATTTTTCGACAATTGGTAAATGTGTAATTCAGTTTGTAGTGGCTATAATCATATAATTTTCATAGAAATACGAAAACAGCAAATTGCGAAAATTAAGGTGTCGATCCGGATTTTCTTTATGTCGATGATGATGATCATCATCATAATTCTGGTGGAAGATGGAAAAGTTTTGTTGCTTTGTGTTTTTTATCGGACAAACAACAACAACATTAGATTGATTTGATTTGATTTGATTTGCGGGACGGATATTTTCACAAATTGATTTAATCAAGAATCTCCTAATAAGCTAATCTGAAAGTTGTTTTGTTTTGTTTTGTTTTGTTTTGAAGCAAAACAAGAACAATCAAATCAATATCATTAGTGGAAAACCAAAAAAAAAAAAAAAAAAAAAAAAAAAAAAAAAAAAAATTTTTGTTTTTAAAAAAAAAAAAAAAAAAAAAAAAAATTTATTTTTTTTTTTTTAAAATTTTTTT